CATTAGGCTCTTCAAACAGGACTGCCATTTCAGGTAGTATGCTCGTGACGAGTTGAAGTTCTCCAAAGTTGGCTGCGCTTGTAACGCAATGCTTCTCGGCGCCCGACCTAACACCAGCTTGAAGGGCGCAATGTTCGTAGTTCGTTGAACTTGCGTGTTGTAGGCGAACGTCACATCGTCGCTAAATAGGTCCCAGTCCTTGGGATGCTCTCCAACATATTTTTGCAACGCGGAAGTCAGCGTGCGGTTAAACCTTTCAACTTGGCCGTCGGCCTGAGGGTGATACGTCGTCGTGAAGACGTTGCGTATGCCCAAAATTCGACAGATATTTTGAAAGGGGGGGGGGGGGGACGGGCAGGATTTGTTGGAGACAGGGACACGGGGTGGTATATAAGGGTGTGTTGCAGTTGAGAGCGAGAGGGGGTCGGTGAGTGAGATGGTCGGCACGTTGCAAATTGGGGATGCAGAAGCAGGGGGAGAGGAGCGCGAGGAAGGGACGAATGTGCGACGGTGGGGCATAGACCAGCAAAGTGCTCCTCCTGGGGTGGGAGACAGCCAACCGACGTCAGCGGCGCAGTGGCCACAATTTAGCGGAAAATTAGCTGCTGGGGGGGACACTTGGCGAGGCGGCAGGCGACGCTTGGTGACGGGGCGGCGTTTCGTGACGGGGCGGCGTTTCGTGACGAGGAGGCGCGCTGGCAAATATTTGAAGTGGAATGCATGGTTGTGCAAAAGAAGACGGCCAATAGAGGCGCGTGTAGCATGCGAGATTGTATCTCGCTTGGATCGCTCTACAGCGGGGATGCATTTTTTCCGCCTTTCGAGCCGATTCGACAAGGCCTCACCTTCGCTGCCGAGCCATCACGCGTGAGGAGATTACCATCTGCAAGTGACTGCTGGCGCTGCAACTGCGGCTTCCACTCGTTTTGTCCTCCACACTGTCAGCACCGGCCGGCCGACATTGCTGGCCGATCGGCGCGGCGTGCCCTAGCGGGCTTCGGTGCACGATTCGCCAACGTTGGACCTGCGCTCTGATGGCTGTCAACAGCCAGCATAGCAACGCCCCGCAGCATGCCAGGAAATATTCCACAGAACAGCCGTTTCCACCGCTCCGTCCTCCATCAGCAATGCGCATCGCCTGCTTCAACGCGCCCGCGCCCACCTACATCCCGCCACGCCTCTTCCGCCCCGAACCGCCGCCGCGCGTACCCCGGCCTCGTATGAATCCAAGGCGACTCACAGCTGCCTGCTCCCCGCCGGCCCCCGAAGAGCGCCTCCTGGAGCACCCTCGCCAGGGTTTATTGGCCGCCGCATGCTGTATATCTCCACTCCGTGCCGACAGAGCAGATGAGCACGCAAGCCGGTTATGGAAAGCCCTTCGTGGACGATGAATCGCGACACTGCTCCCTTTTTCGACGCTACCATACTGCGCATGCATATGGCGGGCGGGACAACTGCCCGCTCCCGTACTTCCGCCGTGCTTTTGGCACATAGCGCGTCCCACCACACACGGCACGCGCGCCGCAAAGCGCCCCACCAAGCAGCCGCGACGCGTGCGCGGCGTCCACCATCCCTTGCTCCCTCAGGATTGGCCACGGGTGGCCGTCTCTCGCGTCGGCGCGTCGGCGTCGAGCTTGCGCCGCGGGTGCCCGCCGCACCGCGCGCGGTCGGCGCCGGTGGAAGCGTCGCTGCGCAGGAGGGCGGGTAGCTTGTGCCGGCTTGGTGCAGTGAGTGGAGAACGTGGCGTGGTCAGTTTTGGCGCTGCTTCGCATAATTGCCGACGACTACAGTACTGTGTACATTAGATTTGCAATTAGATCTAGATCTCGCTGTAAGGTATTCTTCGCCACGGCGACAGGATTTGGCGCAGCACGCCAGGGCTCCTATCAGTGCAGCGTGGTACCCCTCCTAAGGGCAATATTTTGGACAAGCCCATAATTCTGGACAAAAAAGTCGCCAATAAATGAGCTGGCGTTACTAGTATAAACAGCCCACAGAAGTTGCCCAAGTGGCGCCGTACGTTAGCACTTGACAAGGCTTATAAACAGGAAACCGCCCAAAAACTCCCGCCCTTTCACATCATTCAAACGCGTTCAAACAGACAACCGCCTTTTCCCACACCCACTTCCACTCCCATCTTCCAATTTGTCCACAACCCAAAGTTTCATCTCAGCCTTCTCCGCACTGTTCACAATGCCACTATCTATGCGGCGACAAACTAGGAGGGCAACAGATGCACAGCAATTATCCACCAAACGGCTGGAATCGAAGAAAAAAGCCATCCAGCTCCTCAAACCACAAACTTGCCAATCCGAAATATTGCCATTGCCACAGGCATCTGCAAATCAACTGTGGGCAATCTTAAAGACCTCATAACCCGCAACTAGACGGGTGAACTCGAAAAAAATCTTAAGCGACAAGAAGCGCTTCAGTGCTGGAAGGCCAACAGTACTCAGTGCGTCGGAAGAAAAAATCGTTTGCGAGCGTTTGATATACGCTGGCAAAAAAGGATTCGCTTTTGATGTGAATGGATTACGAAGTGTGATGTCAAAAGTGGCAAATGACGGCCGAAAGGGTTGGAAGAACGGCCTCCCATCATCTTCAGCAGTGTGATCTTTTCGGTCCCGAAATCGCTCAATAACATATCGATCGAACGAAAATAAAGACAACGTCAAGTTCAAGGGAGAAAATTATGACCATGTTAAGCATTACTTTGATGTGCTTAGTGAGGTAGATTCAAGGCACCCTTGTGTGCTGACTAATGGGGACAGACTGTGGAACGTGGATGAAACGGCAGTTGACACAACATTCGGTAATCGCGTCAAGGTTTTTGGTGCCTCCGATACTCACCATGGGGGATTTAGAAAAGCAAAAAAGACAGCAGGGACTGGGAGACACATAACAGCTGTTGTTGCTGTCTCTGCCTCTGGAGAAATTTCGCCGCCATTCTTCATCGTGGCGGGAAAATATGTCATGTCCAATTGGTTGGATCCTGTTCCAGATGTCTACAAAATGAGCGGCGAAATATGCAGGCCTTTCACGAAGGACAACTGGTTTCCTTCCGATGGGGTTATTAAGTGCAGCAAGAAAGGGTCAATGGACATGGAAATTCTTCCATGCTTCATGGCGCACTTGAACAATTTTGTCCGCTCTATTCTTCCCAATAATCGACACTACGTTGTGTGTATCGACTTCCATTCTTCTCGCAATGGCCTCACTTGGCTCGAACATAGTGTGAAGAATTGCTGTGAGATTGTGCTATCCCCGGACAATACGTCACATTTTCTTCAACCATGCGACCAAAAAGTTAACAAACGGTTCAAAAGTGCCATGCGAACCCTGCCAGATGACTTTAATAAGTCTGTAATTGTCGACACTCAAAGCGTGCGATTTAATTTGATGTGCGCAGTGTACGCCTTTAGGCAAATCACGACAGAAGACATAACTCATTCTTTTCATGCCACAGGTCTCTATTCCTTCAATCCGCAATTTCCGGAACGTTTCGCAACTCGGAAAGATTTTGCTACGCGTGAAGCCAGGGGACAGCTGAAAAGAATTGAGAAGAGTGGTACCTCAGCACCGATAATTGAAGTGCTTCATCAAAGTCGGGATAAAGACACGTTATAGCGGGTCCAAGCACTAGTCACTCAAAACAAGTCAGCTGAAGAAATTTTGAGAGATGTAAGTTGTCTTCTGAAAGGAGCAGAGAAAGTCAATTCTGTCGTCATGAATGCTTGCTCGTCTTCAAGCGAGGCCACAGTTGGAAGCAGCAACAAACGTCCGAATATCAAGCTCTATTGTGGTTCCGGAGCCGAATGCCTTACATTCAATCAGATTATGGACGCACGGAAAGCAAAAGAGGCTCTTAAAAAAGCTGATGCTGAACAGAAAAAGAAAATACAGCTCAACAATAAACTGCAACGAGAGTCCAGACAACAAAAAAAGGCAGAGGAGAAAGCGTTGCGTGATGTTGAGCGCAAGCAGAAGCGGGAGGCACGACAGAGGGAGCGCGATGACATGGCTGACAAACGTCGCAGAGTGCAAAAAGCGCCAACGGATGCGATTATGCCTGGGAATTCAGGCCATGAGAGGACGCCCGTCAAGGGTTTCTTAAAGAAGAGCAGAGCAAAGGTTTCGGGAGCAGTCGTCGAGGAACTCCTCGGTGATATACTATGCGCTGTAGCCAGGGCGTAGGAGGCGGCAATGCTTTGTCCGTCATAAACATGATGTCGGAAAGTGACCGTTGAACATCGAGACTCTGTAAAAGTTCGCGCTGTGGTCTGCGTGCTGTTTAAAAGCACCCTGCCAGGTGCTGTAGATGAGCCGTTGTCTCCGGATGACAACAGCGCCGTTATCAGGGCTGATCCTTGTTATAAAGGTATTTTGGTTTAAAAAATTGAAAGTTGTCCATATTTAAGCCTCCAGGGAGGGGTAACTGAGACACAGCCGCTCAGGACCGGGCGTGTCTTGTTTCTGCCAAAGATATGCAATGTGCGCATGCAGTGTACTACGCCGGTACAGGGCCTACGCATTAGTGCCGCCCGGTGTGAGACCC